AACCTAAGCATTCTGGTGCTACTAGAGCACAGAGTTCAAAGAGTATCAGGAAAGAGGATGGAAGAGGTGAAGGGTCGAGACCATGGGCACTCTATCCACACTAAGGAGCTCAGATTTACTCTTTAGGGCAGGGGTCACAGGAGCACATGACTATGGTAATATAGATAACTGAGGCAGGTCGGGTATCACATGTTCTACAGAGGGTTGCTGGAAAAGGCATGACCCCTCTGGGGTGGCAGCTGCTGCTTAGCTTCTGTTGATTACTGCCCTTTAAGACACATGGGCCAGGAGTAGGTATGGTTTCCAATTCTTTAAGGGAAGTTTAAAATCCAGATTGTTAAGAAAGCATCTCTCCATTTCTAAGTGTGGGCCCTTTTAAAAACAAAAAAACTGCAGAGGACAAATAAACATACCTATAGACCAAATATGTCTCAAGAACTCTTCTCAACAGAACTGTACTCCAGGTGAAGCAATACCATGAGAAGTTTCTGAAGGCAGGCAATGAGAACAGATTTGCCCGTCAGAAAGGTCTCAAGGTCTCATCCAGGAGGATGACTGGAGAGACAAGACTGAAAGCAGGAAGAGAATCTGTCCAGTGAGGGATCAGTCTGCCATTTTGGGGGGTGAAGACAATTTCTATAAAATTTAGAGTCAAATCTCACAAGCAGATTTTGTATAGGAATTACCTATCAACCAGATTTCATATAAAAAACAAAATAGGAATAATAATAAAAAAAACAATGAAATGATTGCTTTACATCATTCAAAAAATGGGCCATGGGGTCAAGCTGTAAAATGTATTGTTATAATTCTCACACTCTCTCCTGGACACGGAGCAGGTAGAAGCAATCATTCATAGGAATGTCTAGTTTCAATGCACAATCATCACACCCTTCTCAATCCCAAAACTGGTTTACACCCTTTCATCGGGTAATCATCACATGGTATAATTCTATTCCTCAGGCCACTTAAAAGGTAAACACAGCAGCAATGTATTCACCAGCGCCAATGGATGTACATTTTGTCTCCTCACACACCACGAGCCTCATGTCTACAATTCTCGGCCCCTCACACACTATCTGCATACCTCCAAAAGTCAACCTGCATGGTTTGGAGTGCTGCAGTATTAACGGTGAGCACATCTTACATGAGTGGCACTGAGGATGGCATGCCAGATGATGAAACCAGTAACAGGGGTGCAGAAGCTTTGGATACAGAAGAGTAAATTTTGTAAGTTCATACTTTGCAACACAGTAGTAAATTGTCTCAAGTGTAATATTTTGACTCTAGTGAACAAATCAACAATAACTATTTTAACTTTTTTTTTTCTCAGACTGGAAAAATGTTAACTAAACTGTGACGAAGAAATGAGGTGTGTTGATTTGAAGTATTCAATTTTAATGTACTCATGAGTATTCAATGCACCCTTATCTTGCACCAATGACAGTTTAGTAATAAATGATATTTAAGTAATACTGTTACAATTTTTAAAAAAGCTTCATATATAATGGTTGCACCCCACTTTTTGCGAAAAAAAAATTTGGCATAACATTTGCAATGATGATGCAGTAAAATACGATAGTTTCTCCACTCATCATCCTATGTTCCTGCTTTGGGTCCTGTGTGAGCTTCCCACCTCAGCCCAATGGGACAGGGGCCCAGATTACTTAATTCTTCTGTTCCAGTTTGAAAACTGGAGACTAATAGCTTTGTAGTTTGCACATATTTGATACTTCTGCCATTCCCATGCTCTTTTCCCTCTTCTTCTCATTTCACTCTACACCCTTGTATTTATACATACTTTTTTTCCTCCACTAGACAGTTAATTCTTCTGAAAGCAAATCCATGTCAATAATCTTTGCATATACTACTATACTGCCCTTCTTAATAACCTATACTGAGGTTCAAGATTTGGAACTAGGAGGCAGGGCAAGATAAGCCCAATTAATATTTAAATGTTTCCTGTTAATAATAGTAAGGCATGTAAAACATTTACATTCCAATTGATCACATGGGCCAGTAACAACTCAAAGAGTTTCCTTTATCTCTTTACTTTTTGTGGTATCCAGGATTGAACTCAAGACCTTCCACATGTTAGGCAAGTGCTCTACCATCCTCAGCCCTTCTTTTAAGAACTATAGTTGCTATCAGCTAGCAAACTCCTGTCTCACCCCAGCAGGTAACTTGGAGGCTACCATTTGGAAGTGCAGATGGTAACCACCACATTTATTCCTACGAAGTTTATGATGATGTTTACTCAACAATATGTATATCTGGAAAGATGGCACTCATCACCAACCCCAGGTGATACTCAACAGAAGCATTCAGCTTACTGAATCTGGATAGCAAGCTTCTTTATTACTAGCAATGGTAGAAAAATGATACTAAGCATTCAAACCAGATCAGACATCTGGTTTAGACATGATTGGCTGATTAGGTCACGGAGAATAGAAAATAAAATTTTATTGTTTATCCTAATAGTTACACATAAGATAATCTGTATGTCATTTTGTCATGATACTTTGGAAATTATAATTTAGAAAATAGGAGTTCTTAAAAAGCTGTGAAAGATAGTAGAGGCAACTAATGATTGGTAAGGAATAATGCAATAACACTTAAGTTGAAGAGGAAAAATGAAATTGTTATCCCAGGTTACCAGTGCTACCTTGCAGTGAAGAGGCTGTCAGCTTCACAATGCCCTTCTTAATAACCGCATTCATCTCAAAACCTGACCATGTCTGGGCACCAGGAAGCAGTAAGAATGAACAAAGCAGAGAAGATGCAAATTCAGGAGGTCATAGCTGTATTCACTAAAACTGTGTTGTACAATAAGGTCACAAGTGACTATTTAAATTTAAATTAACTATTTAACTAAAACTAAAACATTCTTTTTCATTTATACTAGCTGTATTTCAAATGTTCCATAGCCAATGTGGCTAATGGCTATCATATTGGACAGTACAGAATAGAACATTCCCATCATTTTTCTATTAAACAGAGCTGGACTAGAAAGTGAACATTCCTATTGCCCAGAGAGGCCTGATGAGAAATTCAGAATCAAAGCCAAAATGGTTTTATTCATCAGGCATAATGAGAGCTACTCAGAGCTGTTCATCTGCCCATTGTTGAGTAGGTTATAAATTAGAGACATTTGGGGATATACAGAAAGTCTGGATATCCTTATTAGCACAGGATCTCCCTCCCCATCTTTTTTGTTCTTGATTTTAGTATTGTGTTTCTTTTTTGTTGTGTGGACAGGACTACAAAGGGAAATATGGTAGGGGGTCAGAAACTCCTTATTAAGAACAAAATGGATGGCTATCCTAAATTATGGCTCCAGCCCACCCAAGGAAAGAGCCACAAATCAAGAAATGCTTCCAAAAATAGCCTGTGGGAACAATTCAACAAATCACATTTATTTTTAAAGTTACCAACTCCTCAGAAGCTGAACGATTTTCTAGTAACAAAGTATTGAGTTTTCATCAAGGGCAACACATTGACTGGCTCAATAATCTAATTCAGAGGCAAATAAAAGTAGCACATTAGTCACTTTCCATTCATAGTCTCCTTAGTTGTCTGAGATCATCTGATCGTCAGATGGAAGTCATGACTGAGGTAAACAAAAATCAACCATAGCAGTAAGAATTTACTTATTAAAACTTTCCTATGTAAGTCTTAAAAAAAATGAAGTAAAAATGCACTTGGGATTTAGAGTAGACAATTTCAATTATATTTAATAAAAGCAAACTGATTCATTCAAGAACCAGAAAAAAACTGTCATATTTAACAAATTAAAATTTCAAAAATAAATTAAATTTTAAAAAAAGAACCAGGAAAAAAAAGAAAACCAGAAGCCTTCAGACAGTGGATTCTATTTAAACATTCCTTTTCTCCTTACTTAAATATTTGCTGCCACTTTGCCATGTTAGCTCTCATTTTAAAAAAATGTTTCTGTCCATTTTTAATCCATGTATTACAACTATACATAATAGATTTGTAGTTAAGTATCTGTATATGCCCATGCTAGCTCTCTGTATCACGCCAAAGAAAATTTGATATGTCAGTGACAGGATAATTTTAATGCAAGCTAAATCTTAACTATCACATGAAAACAATAAATAAAACCGATAACCCATCTGCTTAAGAGAATAGCTTATGTATTTGGGGGGGAAAGGGTTGCAAGAATTAGGATGCTGGAAAACTTAAAATGTAAACCTTAAAGCCCTTCTTCAAAAATGCATGAGGTTGCATCTCTGACTGATAATTATAGCCCTGGGAGAGTGGCCATGAGACAATGCTTCATATGGTGCGGTACACAGGACTCAGAAGCCCAGCCAGCTGAAGCTATATTTTGCCATTAGAAGAAATATAAAAAACACAAGACTCAGACCTCTGTTTTCTGTACCCACCACATTTCTACCACTGTACAACTGCTCAGCAGCAGAGTTATTATTAAAGGTCATAAAACTTCACCAGCTTTGCCCTCTGTAGTCACCCTTGATGTTTGCTTACCTTCCTTTCACCAGTATTTCAGAATAGAAAACCCAGCAACATCTGCACCCTCTGGCCATGGAAAGGCTGCACTCTTGTCGCTTTAACCCATCTCATATTAAGGAGAAACTTCATGAAACAAATTGCTTAATGCATCTAAAGCATGTGGGGAGATTCATTTAAACTTTAACTCATATTACCTGCTCCTGATGAGGACAGAGTCATCGACTACTGTTTAAGTAGATGAATAAAAATTAAAGATGTTTACTTCAAGAAAGCAGCTCTGGTTAAAAGGTAGCTGAACTTAAATCTACCAAATCTGCAAAATCTGTTTCCAAGTCATGCATACACAGCCCTGTGGGATGTGAAATAGCAGCAGCAGGCTGTGCTAGGAGGTCACAAGCGCTCCCCAGAGCAGACACTATGAATATAGTTTGTAAAATGTGCTATAAGCAGTGTGGAAACAGGGCTGGATCCAGCTCCGACCAAAGGGCAGGGCTAATGCATACCTTTCGGTCTTCTGGAATTTCCATTCTTTTGCTGTTCATCTTCCTCATTAATGGTGAATAAACCAAGGGGAACTGGCCTTGCATTGGTCTTCTTCAGCCTCTCTTGTCGGAGAGCTGTAGCTGATCCAGGCATACCGCTGCTACTTGTTTTTTAATTATTATATTAAAAATATATGCTCATGTAATTGCAGCTCCCAGGAAACTACTAGTTCTTAAGCTGCCGGTTCATTTGAGCACTTGTAATAGATCCCCTATGGATAAACAGTGTGCAAACAGCTGACAGATACTACCAGCCCCTTGGCAACTGAGGTCCGGCAGTTCCCCTTCACCTAGCAGCAGCCCCCTCCCACTTACTCCCCCCACAGGCACACACAGTGGTGAATACACACACTCACACATGCACATACACACACATCCTTTCCAGAAAAGCCCTGACCAAGACATGCAGGCTCAGATGCCTCCCTCCACTGCCCAACCTGTTCAATCAGATCCCAGCTTCTTCCTGCTGCGGCACTTTCCCAATCTTCTTCCTGCTACTGCACAGTGAAATATCCAGCAGCACACAGCAAAGAGGGGAAAGATGACACACTGAATGCCGCAAGCAGTTGCCCTGACAACCCTGACATGCCCTAATCTAAGAAGGCCAGGAGCCGCCACATCTCCTGCTGCCTGAGGGATGTGATGTCCTAGGAACTCACCAGCAGAGGGTTCCAGTGGGAGGCCGCTGGGCAGCTCCCTCTTCCTCTCAGCCTGGGAGCTAAGCGGCAGGATGGGAGGAGAAAGTGTTTTGCTTGCACAAGCAGCAGCCAGCAGGACTCTTCAGAAAGGAGAGTGGGGCCTGAGGCAGGTCGGCTTTTTCTTCTGTTCTGGGCCAGGTGGCCTATCATATGATGTACACAAGTCCCTGGAAGCAGGAAGGCACGAACGCTACCCAGGCTGCTGGCTCACTTTCATAACACCCGGGAGCCTATACAAACACCGGTTTGGCAGCACCTGTCACAGAGACCATCAGAGCCACACTCCTGAGACCCTCCATGAAGACAGCTGAGGGAGAATTGTGCCTATTCCCACAAAATAGAGTGCAGCGCTGGAAACCACAGGGCAGAGCAATCCAACTGCAAGCCAAGCTGCAAGGACAGGTGAGGAATGAGAATCTACCAAAGAAGGGAAAGCGGCCACTATGTCTCCTAGCACATTCCCACAATCCTACTGCCCTGGCAAGCACCCCCAGGTGCAGGGCAATTCCCAACACTTGACCCAATTTCTGCTCTTTTGAACTGTTTGCTCCAGAGCACACGATCATGTGATTATTGCCGTCTTTTGAAATAAGCTTTAAGTCACTTTAAGACTCCCCATTTCTAAGCTGTTTCAAATTCATGCTATACGTAAAACAAAAATAAATTTATGATAATTTGCCAACTATCAATTTACAATAAGTATCAATTGCCAAATTGAGGGAAAAGGTTTTTATTATTGCCTTAAAATTGAGTCTGCCTAGGGGCTGGGGTTATAGCTAAGCGGCAGAGCACTTGCCTTGCAATTGTGCAGTACTGGGTTTGATACTCAGCACCACATAAAAAAATAAAGATATCTTAAAATATTGAGTCTGCCTAGAAAGTAGAAATTAATCTCCCTCCCCCCCCCCTACAGAACTCTTCTCCTACTGTTTCTCAGTACTTGAACTCCCATATCTGAGGACCATCCTAGGGATTCTAAGTTAAACATTCTCTCTAAATCTTTTGTGGGGAACAGTAACTCTGGAGAATTCATTTCACTCCTCTCCATGCCTCAATTTTCTTTGTAAAACTGGGTGATGACATTTACCTTATGGAGTCGGAGTGAGGAAAAAATGAGTGGAGTGCCAGCAGTAACAAGTGCTTAATAAATAATCAACTGCTATTCTGTTTTATAAAATACCTGCAACTAGTCCATTTGTTGCTTTGTAATTATTTTCAAGGTATTTCCAGGTCAACCATCAACATTTCCATGCTTTTCTATATGTTCTTCTACAGAAAATATACTTCTATGATTTTATCTACTCACATTGCCCAGCCCAGTCCTGGGGATGTACTAAACATTTAACAAATCCATGCTTTAAAAAAATAAATCTTTAGAAACTTCCCCCAAAGGCTGGAAGAGTCAACTAGATTAATGTATGTTTATATCTGTGGAGAAATGTAGGAGATTTCAGATAGAAAATTTACTTAAAATCTTGTTAATCTGTGCAATAGATCTTTTTCATAAAATAGAATGGAATTTCATAGCTGATTGGGTGTGAGAAAGCAAATGAACTAGCATTATTTTACAAGCAAAGAGGCAGAGATCCATGAAGTGAAATTCCTTGCCCAGGTCAAATGCTAGCTGGCAGCAAGTCTGGAATTATAAATTTGAACCACCTTCTTCCTAGTCAGTACTGCTCCTTTAAGACAAATGTTTGGCCTACGTATTAGAATCCTAGACCCCACACCAATTTCTGTGCAGATGTAAAGAAATGGAGGATGCATACATGAAATATTCAAGATCTTATTTATGAAATAAACAATAGATACACATTGTAAGTTTAATGTAAGCCTATAATTTTTTGTTATTGGTAAATTTTTCCTAAATTATTTGTTATTTCCTATTTATTTTTCTTTAATCAGATGATCAATAAACATAAGTATAATATATGACAATATCATGCACACATTTGTGAAATAAAAATATTTTCAAATCCACTTTTATTTTTTTCACTCAGGTCAGTACATACACTAGCAAGAGAAAAACAAACAAACCACCAAGCCCTCGCACACAAGGTAAGCATAACTTTAACTATGTATTGGTAGAAGAAATGAAGTCTATATCTTAAGCAAATGACAAATTTCATTAAGAAGTACTGTTCACCCAAAATAACACTAACAGCTTCCACATAACTCTAGAGCTGTTCTAACATCTAACAAAGACCGCCTCTACTGAAGTTTAACAAAAATATTAAAGAAGAAAAGCTAAAGGAATAGGAATCCTTCCCTCCACCTTCCAAATATAAAAATGAGATAACAATCTATGAGGCATTCTAGGAAGAAATTTAAAGCTCTTCCTAAGAGTGCCTTTAAAAAAGCAAAGTGAGTGGTGGCACATGCCTGTGACCTCAGTGACTGGGAAGGCTGAGACAGGAGGATCATAAGTTCAAGGCAAGCCTCAGCAACTGTCCCAAAAAACAATGAAAATAAAAAGGGCTGGTTCAATCTCCATTACTGAGAAAGAAAAGAAAGAAAGGAAAGAAAGGGAGGGAAGAAAGGAAGAAAGGAAGAAAGAAGGAAGGAAGGAAGGAAAAGTGAGAGAGGTTGGGGGTGTTAGCTCAGTGGAAGAGCATTTGTCTATTACACATGAGATCCTGAGTTTGCAAATGACTGTATGTATGTCTGTGTGTGTTTTGTTGGGGGGGGGTGTTGTGAAGGAGGGGGATTATCAAGAATTGAACCCAGAAGGCTTTGGCTATATCCCCAGCTCTTTTTAAAATTTTTATTTTGAGACAGAATTTCACTAGATTATACTTGGAATCCTCCTGCCTCCTGAGTAGCTGGGATAACAGGCCTGTGCCATCATTCCTGAATAAAATGACTTCTGCAGAAGATGTAAATCCCGTTAATTTCAAAAGGTGGGCCTAGATGGTCTCCAGTATTTTATGTCGTCTTCTGTAGACAAGTTATATTATAGGTGGCTTTATAACTTGTCTACAGAAGACGACAAATTTCACCAAGGAGACCTCTATGCTGCAGACAGGGTTTCCAATGGGACAAAGGTGTCCAGGAAACAAGATCACAGAACACAGAAGACCACACAGAAGACCAGAAATGAGTCATCCCCTTCCAGAGTGGATTAATGCTTCACCTTCTCTATCTGGTTCAGTGGAGAGTCCTTCAGTCACAAAGCTGAAGCTGAATGCTCAGAGAGAGAGAGAGAGAGAGAGAGAGAGAGAGAGAGAGAGAGAGAG